GATAGATAGATAGATAGATAGATAGATAGATAGATAGATAGATAGATAGATAGATAGATAGATAGATAGATAGATAGATAGATAGAACAAAAAAGAAATAAATAAAGTTAAATGTGTCGATACACAGGAATAGTTTGAGATGAATATTAAGAGGCATGAGGGGGAGATTAGAGGTATTTTGGTTTATAAAAAAGACAGAAGTTGGCTGTTGAAAACAAATAAACAGGCAAGCATGAAATGTGGGATGTGATCATAAAATCTGGAGAGCATTTAAAGGTTTAAAAAGTGTTTGTCCGGATTCCAAAATCTACTCAAATTAGTGGTTTGATTGAGGGTTGGAGGAGAAATGTTTTCCTCTTGATGCATGCTCTTCTCCAAAGTGTAATAATAATTGAGTTTATTGATTTCCAGTTTACCAAAATAGTTTTCATTCCCACCTCTAAGACGATAAGAACACTTCTAGACTTTTTTTGCTTTGTGTGTTTCTGATGTGAAAATGATGCCTGTAATTGTTTTGTTTGCTCCATTTAAACTGCTTCTCTGCATGAACAAATGTGTTATTTGAGCTTTAAAACTAGAAACCATACCTTCAACTGAAGACTTTTGTTTTGGCTAACAGGGGGAACTGGACCCTGCAGCCTGGTCCTGGTCCCGGTCCAGACCTGACAGATGAAGAGAAGGAGATTATTAACAATGTGATTGCTCGCGCTGAGAAAATGGAGGCCATGGAGCAGGAGAGAATTGGGTGAGCACTTACTGGTAGAAAAAAAAGAAAAGAAAAGTCTTGCATGGAGACTAATGAAATGCATAATTCTGGATGTGGGATAATTAACTGTGACCTTTTCAGAAAGATTTTCTTCTGTGCTTCCCCAGGCGCCTGATAAACCGCCTGGATGACATAAAGAAGACAGTGTGTGGAGACGGAGTGTCCCGCTGTCTGCTGTGTGGGGAGCAGCTGGGCTCACCTGGGGTCAGCTCAGTGGTGTGTGAGGACTGCAAAAAGGCAAGCCAATTAGAAGACAAACACAAACAAAACCCTCCCCCCGCTGAAATCCTGACTAAAACTGAAAACACACCAGCTTCTTGTTTGCAAATTACATCTTTACAAGAGCATTCCAATAAACCGATCTGTGTTTTGCCTTGCTTTTGTGCAGCACATGTGCACCAAGTGTGGCACTCAGTGTGGCAGTCGGCCTCGCGCTGTGTGGCTGTGCAAGATCTGCAGAGAACAGCGAGAGGTGAGTGCCTGACACCACAGCAATAATATTAAACAAACAGACCGTTGCCTAACGCATCCGTTCTTTTCCATCCTGCTCAGGTGTGGAAGCGGTCCGGTGCCTGGTTCTTCAAAGGTTTTCCCAAGCATTTCCTGCCGTCACCCATGCCGTTATCCAAAACAAAAGAGGACGGTGCCCCGGAGGCAGCAGACCTGCAGAAGCCGGCGGCCTCTGAGCCCCGAGAGGCAGTAAGCCAACCACAACCAGCAGGTAAACCCTGTCGCCTTCGCTCTCTTCTCTGCTCAGTGTAAATATTTCAACCGAGCAACTTCCAGGCCTTTTTATTTATTTTATTTTTTCTGACAGATTGTTTTCAATGTTTATCTCTCAGGTCCAAATCAAGCTCCTGCCTCCGAGCAGCCAGCTTCAGGCAAGTTTCCTTTTTTAGCCCTTGTCTTTGTCTGCTTACTCACAGACTTACAGGGTCAGGATGTTTTTAGCTCTTTTTTTACAAGATTTAAATGTAAAATCTACAGTGTGCATTCTATACTTTACATCAGTGGTTCCCAACCTTTTTTAGACTTGTGTACCCAGAGCCATTTTGTCATACCACTAGTACCCCCTCAGTTAAACGTAATGAAGATTCTCCAAAACTATAATGTACAACTGATTATTAAATGAAAATTGTTTATTTAATCCTCTTAACTTGAACATTTAACTCTCAGGCATTTTATTCTCAACTCAAATTAAACATAAAGAATAATGCATTGCCTTGAAAGTGAATAAGTAATTAAAGAAATAAACTAGGTAATGGTAGGTACAGGAAGCGGCAGCACCCAAAATACGTTGTATTGTCCAAAGTACATCAGAAACTAAACCAAACAAAGCTAATTCTGTGAGATTCTACATTTTATCCTGGATTCCATTTTGTTTTGTCAATTCTGCAATTCAGTTAGCATTTTCCGCATTGCGAAAATCATTTTTTATTAATTATTTTTACACAACTGAGAGATTTTTTCACGTACCCCCTGTAATATGCTCACGTACCACTAGGGGTACACGTACCCCTGGTTGGGAATCACTGCTTTACATTGCTGTAGAACAGGGCTGTTGAAATAAATTGTTAATTTAATGGCCCTGTCAAAGAAATATTAGTTTTTCTGTTCTATTTAAAAAAAATTGCTAGGTGGACCACAGTTACGGAAAGCCAACAGACACCCAGCAATTAAATAAAAACTTTTCAGATTTAAAATGTAATTCAAAATAAGTTAGATAAAAACGTCACATTTTTAATATTTAAAATGTAATTTAATTTTAAATGAAGACATTGTCAGGCATATATTTGTCGCTGAAGTTAAAAAAAAATTTGTCAGGCCGGATTGAAGTCACCTGCAGGTGGGATATGGCCCGCAGGCCGCCAGCTGAATAGCCCTGTTGTAGAACCTCTTATAGCCTCCTGTCTAAAAGCTTCACCTTATCTTCTGCCTTTTGAATGGAGTTCCTGTGCAGCATTAAAACATATTCAATTTAATTCTGAATTTCTACAAATAGAAATCAAACAAGTAGGTTGATTTTGACATTAACAAAATATATAAAAATGAACGTTAAATATATTAATTTCGGTTCATGCACCACATCAGGCATTTTATTAAACATATCCTCCACCAATATCTTAATAAAAGTTGGAATGTTGTATAATGTAATTTAAACTGGAAAGTTTATTCATTCAGTACAAAAATAGGCTTGAGTTCCTCTGACCTGCAGATTGAAAGCGACGTCACAGGCCTGTCTGCAGCAGCTCACACTGGTTTCATCATAAAAATAATAATTTATGTTATTAGATCTGATCGAGTGAGATTTCTGCAGCAAAAAATGTTCAAGACAAAGGACCAGTGGAGTAAATCAAACACTGAAGCATCAGCTGCTGTTAGAATAATGGAAAAATATACATGTGTAAAAATGGCTCCACTGTCACTTTCTATGGGCGTCTATTTTTAGCTGAAAAGGGTCGCAACACAAAAGCCTGTTTTTCCTTTTGGCACAGCTCCACATGCTATTGGCTGTTACTAACTTCAGATGGCTTCTTTACAATGGTAGATGTTTGAAAAAGGCCTAAAGCTTTCAGGAAGACGAAACGTGGCTGTACAACGTGTCACTTTTATTTCATTATGTGCTGAGTCACTGTCATTACGTACACAATGTGGAAACAACATAACTCCCAGTACAGCCGTGACTCCTGACAGAGGAAGACAGAGAAAAAATAAATATCCTCTGTCAAAACAAAGCACAAATCAAATTATCACCAGCAAAATTCTCTGTCGACTAACTTGTGCTAGTTCCTATTTATCCATCTATTTTACCTTCTTTGTCCTGTGCCCTCACATCTCGTTGCTTTGTTCTCGTCATTTATATCTCTCGGCTGCTTCCTAAATTTGGTGGGGCCTCCCCACTGTGGCAGAGGGAGGCGACGAGGTCCTCAGTTAAAGCAGGCAGAAGTTGCATGCTGAGATAAAAATGAGCCTCCGAGTGGTGCTGGTTTGAGAAGTCAGACAGTTTAATTTGTCACACTCTGTGGGATTACCTGTGCACTGTGATTTATCAGTAAAAAACAAAAAATCAAATAAAACAGGCAGACTGTGAAGCTGTCAGTTCAGAGTCTGAGCTGCTGCTGCTGCTTACAGCTTCATGTAGGTCAATGCCTTTCCAACAAAAAAATATGCAACATCAGAAGTATTCAGAAAGACCTGGCAGCGTTACAGAATCCTCTGCAGTGAAGGTGGAGAGTGGAGTGATTGTGCAGTTTTCCTGCTTGCCATGTGGAAGTCACTGTTTAACTCACTCACGCTTGTTTTTTTTTTAGTTGCAGGGCCACAGGGCCGCGCCGGTTACCCACCTGTGGCCCCTAAGCCAGTGTTGCGCATGGCCACGGGCGGGGTCGGCCCCGACGAGGCCGGTCAGGGAGGCGTGGTGACAATGAAGAAGATGGTGCCCGTACAGAGTGCCAGACCACAGCCCGCCGCTTTAGGCGCCGCGGCCCATCAGGGTGAGGAACAGCAAGGACACGTTTTCATGGTTTCCTCATCGATTAGTGAATATTCAGCAGCAGTTTGTCGTTCTCTGCTAACGCTGACGAATGAATGTGTTGCTGTAGCAGGAGACAAAGGTGCCGCAGCTCCTCCAGAGCAGAGAGCACCTCCAGCAGTCAGAGAGGACAGGAGGCAGCCCACCGCCTACAACGCTCCTCCCCCCCGGCAGCAACCTCCCCCAGCGGAGGAGGAGGACGACGCCAACGACTACGACTCTGATGAAGCCAGTGAGTGCCCCATGTGCTGACAAGTCTAGATTAATTTCATTCTGTACAGGTTCCCATTTCTCCCACTCATTACAGCAAAATCCCAAGAATAGTTTTTATTATTGTAACATATCTTGTATTCAAATTAGTTAAAGATGTTTAACTTCTGCATTTTATTAATATTGAATGCTGAGTGCTGAACGACTGATTAAGAAGCTGAAACTGAGCTATTAAACCTGAAAGAAGCAGAACATCAAAGGGGCAATATTATGTGTTTCTCAGGCATATATTTAAATACTTTACCATAATAAAGAATGTATGTCACCTTTAGTTGTTATTAAAATGCTGTTTTTATGTTTAAATAGAAAATAAACTTATCTTCTCATCACTTCCTCTTCTAAACGCCTTGAAATTGACCTCTGTCTCTTTAAGAACCACCTTCTGCTTCTGTCCCGTCCCATGGGGGGTGGGGGTGGGTGGCTGCCATGATGCAGTTTACTTGGCATCTGAAAATACATTTCCTCAATGGTATTTTGAATCTGAAAAGAGCTTCACTGAGTGAGAAGTAGTGGATCTCAGCAGACAGTTTAAGTTTCACTTTCACTTCCACTCGTTTGCTCTGTTACTGCCGAGAGCTTGCAGGAGTGATGGGCGGGGTGTGTGGGGTGGGGGGCGGGGAGGGGTGCTCCCTGATGAGGAGGTTCAGCTTGAAGACACGTCCCAGGGGCGTTTCTGGTTCCAAAAGGTGTTTCTGGTCTCCACCTGTCATTTTGCTCCTCAGCATGGCTGCCTTAAAATGCTGCAGGATTTCTCAAACATGCATGAATGAGTCAAAGCAAGGCTTTGGGCATGTTTTTATATGTGAGTATAACATTATAACATGATATAAAACTCAAAAAAGTTGATTTTACATGATATTGCCCCTTTAACAAAGAGTTAAATGAGCAAAACACTATCAAAAATGTATAAGAAATAAAAGCCTAATTTAAATAAAAGCTAAAGGTAGCGTAAGGCTAACTAGATAAAAGCCAAATGCTCTTAGAGGCTAGCTAAAAGTGCCAAAACACCATTTAACGTTAACTAAAACTAGCAAAAGGCTAGCTGAAATCTAAAAGTACGGTGAAACTGATTTCAAAGAGGACAAATCACAATGGATTTTTATAGGCAAAATATTTGTAAATAAAGATAAATATTTTTAAAAAGTACAAATTTATTTTAGCCTGAAGGGACGAAATGACTTTATTCTAAATTGGGTTGAAATTATTATTACTTTTAGGTTCAGGTCGTTAGAGCTGTGCAAACAATTTGATGCGTAACAAGACTAACGAGTTTTAAATTCCCCTTGGATCTGTTCCCTTGGAGCAAAGAGGCAGAGAGAGTTTTCTGTGGAGATATGAAGGGGAGAAAAGTTGTGTTGTTGACAGGTTTCAACAGCCTTTTGCTAATACTTTTTGATGTAAATGCCTTGGTTATTAAAGGTTAATGAAATGTCATGTTCAAGTTAATTAGGTTAATAATCAGGCAATTGTTACTGAAGTATAACATGAGTGAATATTAGTATAAATGTTTCCTTTTGGACTGAACTGGATATTAGATATATGGTAAAATATTAATATATAATCTGATTTAACATTTTACTCAAAATTATTGAAGTAAATTGTTAAACTGGCAGTTTTTTATTTTGTCCCATGACAATAGATATTTAAAAGCATTACAATTCATCTCTCTGTCTGTAGATTGTGAGAGAAGGTAGAATAATTTTGTATTTATTGCCTTTAGGTAGAAAATGCATGTGTTATCTGTTACATGAGGTGCAGTTAGGAAAAGTATAATACTGTACACCCTCCACATTTAGAAGGACTTTCTCTCCTCCCAACACACTAACCATCCTGCAAACCTCTCGTGTTGCATGTGATTCCTCCTGTTTGGGCATGCTGATGTGACTATTTCCCTCAAATCACTTGCAGGCCTTCATTCTTCATCAAATTAAACGTTGCATTTTTGCAGTTAGTGAGTCTAAGCACGAAGAAGTTAATAGACATTTTAGGATAATTAACAGAACACTTTTGAATAGGCTGTTTCCCAGCATCTAGCAATGCCAAGCTATCAAACTCGTCCAAAGAAAATCTGTGTGGGCAGCCTCTCAATCTTTGTATTTTTTTCCCCTACATGCAGAGTCCTCCACCGAGACTTGAATGTTTATTTAATTAATTTCATGTTATGTGCTTCTAATAGTGTCCTAACAGTCATCTGAAGCCTGCTAATGTTTCATAAGTGATGGTTAAGACTGTTTTTTTATCCTTTTAGCAAATCTTTATCTCATTCACACTTTTAACCACACGATTCTTGTTTAATTACCAGAAAAAGACTACGTTTGTATATTTATTTATTTAAAAGCAGGTTTTCCGTCTGTCCTAGTTTAAAGTTACAGCTGGTCTGGGTCTCTTTCAGCGACTCTGGGCTCTCTTGAGTTCAGTCTTCACTACGACCAGGAAAGCAACAGCCTCCACTGTAGCATCATCAAAGCAAAGGTACCACGGTTGCCCTCATTTTCGCACACGAAGGCACAATTTCAGTCAAGTGGCTCATGCTTAAAAGCTCCTGAATGGCACTTTAGCTAAACTGCTCTCCAACGCTTGTGATCTCGTTAACACTATTCTCTTTTGTTTTCCTTCTCAGGGACTGAAGCCCATGGACTCAAATGGGTTAGCAGATCCCTATGTGAAGCTTCACCTGCTGCCAGGGGCGAGTAAGGTAAACAATCATACCTGTCTTATATGAATTCCTTGTCTTTGAAAGTATTTACACACCAAAACCCCCAAAAGGTTAGTAATTTTTAGCCCTGATTTGATTTGATGAGGAATCTCTGATAGCTCACTCCTGACCCCTTGTGGTCATAGACAAAAACAGAAATAAGAGTTTGGATGATTATATTTAGAAAGCATTCATTCTTCTCCTTCTCTGTTATCCAACAGTCCAACAAGTTGCGTACAAAAACCCTGAGAAACACTCGCAACCCTGTGTGGAATGAGGCACTCACCTACCACGGCCTGACAGAGGAGGACATGCAACGCAAGACCCTCAGGTGGGTAACTCACCTCGCAGTCGTGCTCAAACCACCCCACTGCATCAACCTTGTCTGCTTTATGCAATGGCATTTATGTCTATAATTAAACATTTTTTTCTGAAACAATTTTCCACAGGCTTTCTGTCTGCGACGAAGACAAGTTCGGGCATAACGAGTTTATTGGGGAAACTCGGGTGGCGCTGAAGAAGCTGAAGATGAATCAAAAGAAGAACTTCAATGTCTGCCTAGAGAGAGTCGTGCCTGTGAGTGAGACAATCAAAGAGCCCTCCGTTTATTTTTTTTAACTTGTCTCAGTCTTTTACTTGACCCTGCTGCTAATCTTATTCCTCCTGACAGACGAAGAGAACCGCGACAGCCGGAGGAGCCAGGGGGATAGCGCTCTACGAAGATGAGGCAATGGCTGTTTCTGAGCATGTCTAAACGTGACAGATTCCTCCAGAAGTTCATACAGACGTTACAGTCAGTCCTGTACAAATATCGGTTTTTCCTCTCTCTCTCTTTCTCTCCCTTTGCTCTGTTTTAGCCCGGGAAGGATGGCACAGAGGCAGAGGAGCGCGGCCGGATTCTGATCTCCCTCATGTACAACTCGCAGCAGAGTCGTCTCATGGTGGGGGTCGTGCGCTGCGTTCATTTGGCCGCTATGGATGCTAATGGCTACTCTGACCCATATGTCAAAATGTAGGTAGAACAAATAGAGCGGGGAAAAAGGGCATTTCATGCAATAAACAACATAAATTACATTCTGCGCATGTGTCATTTTGTAGATGTTTGAAACCTGATATGGGGAAGAAGGGCAAGTGCAAAACGCAAATCAAGAAGAGGACTTTGAACCCAGAGTTTAACGAGGTTTGGACAAAAAAAAGAGAGTTAATCAAAAGTGTCATCAGCTTGTCATTTTTCTAAATTAAATTGTTGCATTCATAAAGGGGAAAATAATTTAAATTAACATTTTAAATGTCTGGATCAAATTTTAGGAGTTTGGGTTTGAAATCAAACACAGTGAACTGGCCAAGAAGACGTTAGACATCTCAGTGTGGGATTACGATATTGGCAAATCCAATGATTACATAGGTAAGTATCTGATCAGTGTCACAGCCATTAAAGTGTTTAGAAGAAAAGAGAGGAAGAAAGAAATTCTCACCTGCTTCTTCTCCTTTCTGACAGGTGGGTGCCAGCTGGGCATCACGGCCAAAGGGGAGCGGCTGAAGCACTGGTACGAGTGTTTGAAGAACAAGGACAAGAGGATCGAGCGCTGGCACACCCTGGTGAACGAGAACCACGTTGCCAGTGATTAACCACACAGCATGAGCTCATGTTTATCCTCCACAGTCTGTTTGCATTTACTCCCCATTTGAATGGATAGATCAGCTCATTGGAAGTGGGGTTCTGTGGATAAAATATGATTGATGACTATGTAACCTGTTGTAGATGGCTGTTTGAAGGACCTCAGTAAGGAGAAAAGAGGTTTAATTCTGATTGGACTGACAAGCTGACAACTAATCTGAGCTGGACTAACACTGAAGTGGAAATGTGCCAACTTGAAACTTTGAGGTGTTCATGCAAACCCTAGGAGTAGCTGTATCACTTCCTGTTGGCAACATTAATCTGTGCAGGTGCTGTTATGGAGTCTGCAGGAAGGTTTGTCCCAGTAGAGTTACCGTAGCTTCCTGTTGTAGAACTGTGCTGTAGTAAAGCTGGGTTTTCACATCTTATAAAACTTTGTTGAACCCTAAAGAAATTGTGCGTAAATTATATAAATAATAAATAATATAAAATGACCATCTTTAGTAAAGAATTTGAAACATTTGATTTGCAAATAGATAAACACGATGCTTCAGCATTATCAGTGCTATTTTACCATATGTGCTAACCGGTCAGCAGCTAATGAATATAGGTTTTTTTACTACACATAAAAATATTTATATCTGTGTTTATTTGTACAAAATAAGTCATATCTTTTTAAGTTTCAAGATAATCGAAATGCAAGAGTAGTTGTTTTTTAATCTCGACCCTCTGAATCAAAATTTAATCGAATCATGAGGTGCATGAAGATTCCCTCCACTAATGTAAACGTTTTGAAGAATATTAAGATTTGTGGAATTTGAGTTGTTTTAAAATGACCTTCAGCTCTGATCTGCTCAGAATTAAACTTTTTTTTTCTAAATGGTGGTTGTTCAAGAACTATCTACAACAGGTAAGATAATGATTGTGCATATCTCTTTCCATAGAGCCCCACTTCAAAAAGTCTGAGCTCTTGCTTTAATATTTATATTGTTAATCACACAGGTGTTCGTTTTCTCCACTCATTCAGTATTTTCCTTTCACTAATAGAGAATAGAGTTTCTTTGCCTGTGATGATACTTAATCATGATGAAAATGAATTTGTAACTCAAAAAAAAAAAAATCAAACAAAGACGTCTGTCACAATTTACCTGCACAAAGGCCCTCATACAGTATTAGTGAGCGATTCTATGTAAAGGCAGTAAAAGTGGCACGTTCACCATGAAAGGAAATGAATTGCACTGGTACGGATGAAGAAAAGCAATATGCTACGGCATCAGGGGTCGGAACCATCATTCAAGCTCCTGAAGTTCAGTACTTGAACTTCCTCACATAGTGCTGTGTTTAAAATGTGAAACCATAAAAAAAAGCATGCCAGGCTACACACGTTATCAAAACCACACAGCTGCACCTTAAAATATTCAGCTGTATGAACATTTTGTATATTTCCACCAAGAAATGTTTACATACTTCTACATTGCTCAGGTTAGTATAGCCATCTGATAGGACAGATGAGTCATTATGTGAGTGGACCATGAGCTAGACGACTCCTTAATCAGTTGCTGTTAATTTGTGATTTCTATATTCTAGCACACCTACAGTATATAGTTTACCAAGAGTTTTTATGTCATGTTTAATCAAGATGTAAATTTTCTTTTGTGCGACGTACAAAATATGTGTTACGGGAAAAAAAAAACATGAATCATAAAGTTGATGTTTAATTTGTTCGTTGCAATGAAAGCTGGCAGAAGACAAAAAAAAAAAAGAAAGAGGGATCTTGTCCTGCTACCTCCGCTCGTGGTTCACTCTGACCCCTCAGAGGGGTTTTTTTTATTCTTACTGCACTGTTTACACCGAATGCACACGTTTCCTCCGAGAATCCTTAAAGAATTTGGCCAACGGAAACTGTGGAACAAGTCAAAAGTATGTGCAGCTCCACCTGCATGCACTGTGCTTGTGACTCTCATGTGCCTGGGGCGATCATGGCCCACTCCCTGCCCCCACCTCCTCCACCAACTTACCCCTTTGCACAAAAAAAAAAAAGAAAAAAAGGACCCATTTTTCCTCCCCCTCTGCCACACCTCTAACCATCCGGTGAGCGTTTCATCACCAATTACAGCAAATCAAGGAAAGCACACCTTACAAAGTGGAACGACCTCAGTTTCTACAGCTGTCTGCAAGTTACTCCAATGTCAAAACAAGAACAAAAAAAAAACAACAATAATCCTATGCATGATGTGTCTTGTGGTTCAAGATATACACATATATACTTTGTAAAAGATAAATGCTATTGTAATTTCATCGATGTTTACACTTTTTCCCATAACATTCCTACTGATACTTTATATCCTGCAGAAGAGGCTGCACTCTGCATGACGACGATGTGATCTGAACAAACTGGTGTGTTAGCATCGAATAATCAGCAGAGCGCGTCGAACGTAGAAGCTTGTAGCAGACCGCAGGTGATCTCGGTGTTCCACTGAGGAGTCCTGCTCTTGCACATTCAGAGCTTTCCAGTGTCTTGTTTACTCCACTGTGCCCCCCTGAGACGTGGCCGTGGCTCCGATTTTTCTCCAGTCTTTACTCTGTGCTACATCAGCTGCTGTGATCATGACATGACGGTGATCAAATGTTTAAAAAAAAAACAGGCTTCTCTTTAAGCTAAAGTCATAGCTGTCTTCTACTTGATTCTGACAATTCAGTGGAATGTTCCTTTATCTCTGTATTTGTACATAGATATAGTGCATGAAGTGGAAATATGTACGTTTGCAAAGAACTTTGCATGTAGAGGTTTTGCAGAAAGTTTACACAGACTAATAAAACCTGGTGGAAAACGGCACGCTTCTCGTGTTTGAAGAGATTTTAGAATCCAGAGGAGAGAACTGGAGAAAACTGAGACTAAAAATGTAATAAATGAAATTAAGAATGCAGCTTTATGAACCAAAGTGGAAAGTATACTCAAGCACTGTTTAGTACTTTTTACAGGTACTTACTTTAGTAGCATAGTTCTATTTTATTCAGCAGTAATAGTTTGACTCAAATATTAAAGACAAGTTACATTTTTGTACTTTTAGTTCCTGCTTTGGCTAAAATGATTTAGAACAGATAAATAAAAATGTATCCCACAAAAAAGAAATGCCTGCAAAAACTAAGGATTAAAGAAGTAGAATGAATACAAATTTTAGTTTTAGAAATTAGTGAAATTCTTATCTTATCTGATTTTTCTGTGTTCATGAATGTGAAACTGAACGAAGTCCTCATTTTTCTGTATCACCTTTAAAAAGAGAAAAAAAAACTGCAACAACATACGGTATTACTCTTTTATAACACTAAACATATGAAAACACAGAAATTGAAAACTGCATCACAATATTTCCTGTACATACTACAATGGGATTAGGGTAGAGTCAGAACCAGGGTCACTGAAGGAGAATAATGGTACAAAGACGCAGAGTTTTAGTCTTTTCTTGCAGCTCATTCCAGTCATTTGAAGCAGAAAACTGAGATGATAAACGTGGTGTGGTCTTTTGGGACAAGCAAAGTTGAAATCACTGGAACATAACAAACAATGTTGTGAAGAAGGTTTGTTAGATGATCAGTTTTGTAGATAAAATGGTGCCAGGAGTGACGTTACAGTAGGGTTGGGCATAATCGTATCGTCTGCAATTAATCGTCAGAAAAACATTAATCGATTATTTTTTGGCACTTGATGATTAATACGATTAATGCCACCAGGCAGACTGACTGGAGAGTTCCCCGGTCAGTCCGCTTGGTGCTCCTCTCTGCTTCAAATATGACGAACATTTAAACAAAAGTTCTGTCATTTCTTTATCAACGCAATTTAAAATTTGAAGGACAGCCTGAAGTCTGTGATTTTGACACAGTTTGAAAAAGATTTTTACGAAGAGCAAATCTTTCCTGCTAAATTGGTCATGTGACTAGGACATACTCCAGGGGATCAATCGTCAAATTAATCGTTATCGGCTAAATACCACAATTAATCGTGATTAATTCTTTTGCCAATATCGCCCAACCCTGCGTTACAGAGAGTGTAACAACAATAGGAGGAATTATAAATGATTTCATTTCATCCACAAAATATTTTGTTTTTGTTTTACTTTAAATATTACTGACTGAAATCAGCTGAGTCACATCGCAACTCATTAAAGTTTGTCCTCCTTGTTGAAATTAGGAGAACAACCATGTCAAAAAATGTTTACAACACCTGTAATAATAAGAAAGATGTCATGAGATGGATCAGCACTCAGGTTTGTGATAAGGATGAGTCTCAGCTAGTTTTACCTCAGTTTCTGTATGTTGCTGGTTTTATTTGCAGGCTGATCAGCTGAATCAAGCTGACTCCAAATAAGTACAAAGATTGTTATCTGAGAGTTTCAATAAAACTCATCCAGTGGGTGATGATGGGCTAACAGACACACAGTACATCCATCCATTTATTGGTCGGTTTGCAAACACAGGTGGTCCAGGAGGGAGACCTCAGAAACTCACCTGATGCCAAGATGAGTATCAAATTTCTCCCCATCAGCAGACCAATGAGAGGACTTTCCATTTCCATGCCTTCCTCAGAGACACAGGGACAACGTCAGGAAAAAACACCTTTAAACTCTGCAGGTCTTCAGCAGGACCGGGTGGGAACTCAGACATCAAAATGAACAGCGGGCTTCGTCTTCGAGCTGTCTTCTTCTCGTCCTGTTTCGTTTTACTGACAGCACGAGCTGTTGTCACCGGACCAGGTGCGTCCTGCCTCAGAGTCTCGAGTCTCGGCACCGACGGACAAACGCTCGTCACGTTCCTGCGCGAGGACGCGGCTGGCGCGCGACTCCTGTACCTCACCAGGTGGAGTGACGAGGCGCGGCTCGTCTCGTGCGAGATAAACTCACATCCGAGCGTCACGGAAGGATACCGGCGTTCATGCGACGGAAAGAAAAGTTGGGGTGATGAAGAAGTGTCGCGGGGGGTTAACGTCAGCATGCTGCTGTCTCGGGATGCCCTGTGCGCGCGCTCACCTTCTCGCGCTCCGGAGTTTACCGAGCGCACGAGACGAGACGGGACCGAGGGCAGAGGTCGGAGGAAACGGTCCTGGATATTTCCAGGCACTTTGTGGTGTGGCAGCGGGACCAAGGCGGAGGGATACGAACAGTTAGGTAAGAATGTTGCACTGTAATGTGTTTTTTACAATTGTTTTTAAACACACGATCTAATTCTTGCAGAAGTCAGAAACAGAGCTTCATGTGTGCAGCAGGAACTGATCATCAATGTTTGGATGATTATGTCTCAACTAAAATCTGATGAATGCAACACCAAAGCTGTTTTATTTTTTTTATATTATTCTCAGACAAAATCATAATTTCGAACGTCTTTATTATGAAAATTTCTCCACACTATCTGAAGATCTTACAGAGATTTTTTTAAAATAAATTCAATTCAACTGAAAAAAAAAAAAACATTATTAAATCCAAAGGGAAATTGTAACTTTTTTTTTAACTTTGGCTTCTTTTTCCACTCGTTTTCATTTATGATCATTTTCATATGTGTTTTTGTTTAAGTTATTTATTCATACGTGTTGTAATTATTTCTTTTGGAACCATTAGCACCCCCTTTTCCATTTATAATATCCATCAACACCAATCAACTAAATGACATTCAAAAACCTGATTTAAACTTTCTCAATTTCCTTAACAATAAGGTAAAAGTTATCTGTTTGGAAAATGTCGTGTTCTCTGTTATATTGTTGATAGTCTTGGCTCCACAGTCAGATGTTTAATTAAAAGGCAGCACAAGGTTTTTTCAGGAGGTGCCCCAACAAATAAAGGAAACCGATCCTCAAACCTGCAGCACATATAAGAAATACCTTCTTGATAATTGACATAACCCATGCATTTTTATATTTATCTATCTCACACATTACTGTTATAAAGAAGACAATATCCACTTTCTCTGTATTCTTTTATACAAATCGCTCGTCTTTCAGTGTCACATACTAACAGGTGACTTGTCAATCAACTGGGTGGCCAGTCAGGTTGCAGGGATGGCACCCTGGCCACCCTTCTGTCTCCATGTATTCTCATACTCACTTTTGTCTCTTCTTATACAGATCACTGAGGTTAGTAAAACATTTGGTAAATACTGGTATTTATTCTTTGGCTTTTAATTCAAGCAGAGGTTAAGACCCAATGGTGATGACTTTTATGTTGGGTTGGTAGTTTATTTTCTTCAAATTATTTTTTCATGTCTGCTAGTTCATTGTTTTTTTTATTTTTTGTTTTTGTTTTTGTTTTTACTCATTGACTGATTTATAATTTAGCTACAAGTCTGACGTGGACAGTGGCTTCTAAACTCAAGGGATGAACCAGTTTTGTATCGACACAAATGGTTTTTGGCCTTGTCTCTTGTGTGCAGGCATGTTTGAGAGAGCAGACAGGTGCTGCCGGGAGCACGACCACTGCTCGCACATCATCCCAGCTTTCACAGTGAACTACGGCGTTTTCAACCCCAACTTCTACACTGTCTCACACTGTGAGTGTGACCGAAGGTGAGCCAGGGGCGGTTCTAGGGGCGGGGCCACAGGGGGCATTGGCCCCTGCTGAAATTTGACTGGCCCCCTGAAGTGCCCCTCTCCTGTCACTCATCTGTCCTTTGCCCAAGAGTGATGATGCTGGCTGCAGTTTCATGTCCAAACACTAGAGGCACTAAAGAGCCAAATAGAAAAGTCCAGCATGAATCAAGCGGACAGAAGTTTTTTTTTTTCTGTTCTTAAAATTTGAATAATCCTGCAGAAAAAGTCTTTCAACTCAAAAATGATGGCTGGATTCTCTCACATGCTGTGTGCTTGAGAGTATTTTATCCTTGTACTGTAAAAATGCATGTAAAATTGGCAAGTAGACGTGCAAGCTTTTTTTAAAATTACAAGTGTTTAAATGTGTGACTTGTTAATATACACCTTACCAAAACCAGGGATTTGTGTGCAGGGATGCTGAACAAATGCTTGGCCCCTCTATGAATATTGTGGCCCCTTGATGGCCCCTTACTCAGAAAAATCCTAGAGCCACCACTGCTCAGTATACACCCACCAGGCATTCAGTCCTGAGTTTGAGTTTCAAGTATTCGTTGCCTCCAGAGAAACTCCTGTAAGCAGCAAATCACATCCCCCATGTGAACAGACACGTAAGGACAGAGTTGCTTCGAGGTGAAAGTTTTAAGAACTTTTCTACAGTCTCCTTTTTCCTTTCCAGAATGATGCTGTATAATTTTGTCAATTAGTCAAAACCAGATTTAAAGAGAAAACCTGGGGCAATGTGATAAAACTATTCATCCATGAGTGATAAAAACAAAGTTCCCTAACACATTTCTCTCCATTTTGGCTTGTGTGAGCATTAATTTAGTATTTATGCCCTGCAGAGATGTTTGTTACTTTACGTAATACTGACAGGCACCTTTTGTTGAGTTGAGTTGTAAAAAAAGAACAGTTTTCGAAAAGGTTTACCTTCTATTTGTGTGACTGGATCACTTTTTTTAACCTTTGCTTGCTCTCGTTGTGTCTCCCAGGTTCCGACAGTGCCTTCTGGGCATGAACGATAGCATTTCAAGTATGGTGGGCTACAGTTTTTTCAGCATCCTGAAGGTTCCTTGCTTCGAGCTGAAGCAGCTGAAGCGATGCACTCAGATGTACTGGTGGGGAATGTGAGTGAGAGGCTTGGTGCTTGAACTTTTGACTGAGGGATGTTAGGCATAACGAGCAGAACACAACTTTTTTTTTCCTATGCAAAAATAAAGTTCATGTGTGATTAGGATGTTTGTTTTGCAGTTTTTATATGAAACCAGAAACTTGGCCAAAAAATAAAAAAATAAAATAAAAATAAAAATCCAGTTTGTCCAAATAAAAATAGTTATTTAAGGTATGCACAAACAAGCTAAACAAAATGTATTTTTTTGATGTAAAACTCAAATGAATAAATATATATACAAACAGGACAATTATGCGTAATCTTGGGAGTTCTGTTAAAGCCGTTGCACATCAGCTGAATATAAGAAGTGTGGACAAGTATTCACCTCCTTAGAATTATTTTTATTTTGTGGCCTTACAGCCTGAAATTTGAATGGATTTTCAATTTGTTTATAACTAGACAAAAAGTCCAAATTATTGAAATAAATGGGTGAAATTATTGGCACGTTTTTAACTGAAAATTGGTGCACGTATGTATTCACCTCCCAAAATCAAACTGGAATTGGTGCCCATGTTTTATGAAGAAAATGCCCCTTTGCATTGGTGTCACTTGTATACGGTAATTTTTAAAGCACACCCAAGTTTCTTAATTGGATTGAGGTGTGGGCTTTGACTGGGCCACTTCAGAACATTTAATGCTTTCTCCTGCCAGAGTGTTGATTTAATTATGATTTAAATATGTGTTTAAGGCCATTGAGTTTTTCATGTGTCTTTTGGCAAATTTTTACATAGCAATGCCTTTTTCTTCTTGGCCACTGTTCCATGAAGCCCAGCTCTAGGCAGCTAGTAGTCCTATGGGTAGATCCTCCAACTCTGCAGAACCGCTCTGCTTGATCAGGGTTATCTCTGCTCTCTTGGTTGTTTCTCTGAATAATGCCCTTCTTACCCAGTCTGTGAGTTTTGGAGGATGACCCTGTGCTGTTGTAGCGTTGTTTTTCCAATTCACAACTAAAAAAAAAAAGTGATGCTCTGTGGGATGTTCATGTTTTTGTGTAAACCAACCCTGATCTGTACTTCTTCCCAACACTCTGTGTGGAGAGCTGTGTGTAGCTTGGTGGCAGCTCTTACTATTCACTGGTAATTATGGGTGCTGTCAGAACGGGTGCATATCATTTGGCAGGTGGCTCTTTCGTAACTAATTATGTGGCTTCTGGAGGTAATGGTTGGAACCTTAGAGCAAAGGAAATGAAAAGATATGCACACATCAATTTTCAGTTATTTTTAGAAATATCTTAAACTGTTAGAAGTATTTTATCAGATTGAAAGTCCATTTAAATTCCAGGTTGTAAAGCCAAAAAATGTTAAGATTACCAAGTAGGTGAATAATTCTGCAGCAACCCACGGGCTTCCCTTCTGTTGGTTTTAATGTGCCTTTTTCACCCTCTCTAGGTGCAAAGTTGCCAAAAAGGCTCCATATGCTGTTTTCAAAAGCCCCCTGCCTTACAACAGCTCGGATGTTTCAGGCCAACAAGACAACATGAACTTAACAAACAGTGAAGAACAGCGTTTACCTGAAGCCTACATGTTAAGACCTCAAAGGAAACCTCCCAAAACTAAACATAGATGTGATGCCAGAGACTCTCCCAGAGGAGACACTTTTCACCACAGGACCAAGGGGAGCGGATGTAAAAGGCACCAGAAGATACCTGGACCAGGACACTCACAAGTGTCCACAACACCCAGGACACGCATCACTACTCACCCTCCCAAACGTCAGACGCCAGTTAAAAAAAGATTTGGAAAAAAGAAGAATAAGAGAAAGAACCTCACAGGTCTGCAGAAAAAGTTGACAAGAGTTGACCCTCAGACACAAACAACACATTCACCTACTTCGCCGTTAAAACAGAGGCTGAAACCCCAACACCAAACAAAAACAAGAGACAAAGAGGGGACTACAAGTATAAAACATAAAAATGAATTTCCAAAGCAACACATCTATTGTGGCTCCAGGAATAACTCCTCTCAGTTATATTGTGAAAACTGTCTAAAGCAAGAAACAGCATCCCATGTGACAACTATTATTCTGGGAGAAACAAAAACAAAAGGATTAACAACCAACTGGGTGAAAAACAAGAAAGAGAACCTTAAAAAGACAACAAAAAAATCAGATCAGGGCACGTCTGGAAATGTTGGGAGTGCAGCTGTTTATCCAACACCCATTGTAACGAAACGAATGACAACAGCCGCTGTTTACAGAGATGAAAAGTCACAAAAGTGGCTGGATCTCCATCTGCTGTCGAACCGTACAACTCAGCAGCCCTCAGGTGGTACTGCAGCTGCAAGCATCCAAGCAGAAAAAGACCCAGTCTGTAAGAACCAGCTGCCTAATGTGACAGGTGAGCTCTGACAGCCTCTGAGGTTCACAACAACACCACATCATGGAGACAAGATTCACTTGGAGTAGTTACCTAATAAATGTGACCATAGAGCTGCTCTTTGTTTAAACAAGCAAAAAAAAAAAAAAAATAAAAATCTAACCGGGGTCACATTTGCACTTCTAATTCTTAGCATGCTGCACTCAGTTTACAGGTAAATGCAGTTTTAACAGCATTAGCTGCAGAGCTAGCTGACACTTGGGTTCATACAGATGATATCCATAAAAATTAAACAAATCTAGTAGGTACTCAGTTTCTCAGACGATGCTGCAAAATATGTCGATAACAAGACTAACTCAAGGCAAGTCATATTTTCCATCTGCTCACCTAATTATTTTATCTTTTAGTGCTAATTAAATATATTTTATTTCTAATAATATTTGTACAAAATGACCCCACTGTTTTTTGTTTGATTGGTTTATAGATTATTGACATTATTTTTTAAATACTGAAACAGTAAAAATACAGTTTGGTCAGTGGGAGTGTGTATAAGATAGTAGTAGGTCTTTAAATCAACGTCTTTATCACGTTATACCAATTTGTTTGGATGACAATACAAGGTGTTTCAATGTCACAAATCTGTCATGATGCAATTTTAAATCACTTCGATTCACAAGTCTGTGAACGATATGGTGCAATATCATATGGCCCTCTGAACAATTTTTTAAACGATTGTTAAATGGGCATCAATCTACATTGGGCATTTAATGATGATATGAATGGATGTTTTCCTTATGCCTTGATCTAATTGAATCATTAATCATTTAATCGATACATCAGTGTGGATCAATTTACGTTGTTACACCTCTAGATGGTAGTGGTGTAACAAGTTCATATAAGTATACTGATTTTAGGCTGATTGTCATGGTTTGTGTTCTTCTTGGTTCTGTCTTTTACATTCTGTCACTCCCTGTCCTTGTTCTGTTCAGCTCCTCCTGCTGGTCTCTGCTTTAGCCCCGCCCACACTCACCTGCTCCTCGTGTTTTTCTCCCAGGTGTTTCTTAGTCAAGCTCTTTAGTCACTTTATAACTTTATATTCTGTCCTCATTCTGGTGTGAGTGCTTTGTATGGTCTTCATAATTGGTGTGTTACATTCCATGTTACCTGTTTATGTTCCAGGTTTTCTAAGTACTTGTTGCTTCCATGCCAGTGACCTTTTTTTTGTTAATAAAAGCCTTTATTTATTATTTTTATTACAACTCTTAAAGACCATCTCTCATTCAGTCTGGCTTCAACATTTAAACCAATCTTTATACTGACAAACAATGAGCTCCAGAAACTACAGTTAAAATTCATTCATTCAAATTATTAGAATTCCCAGATGAGCTGTGACTAAAAGGTGAAATGCAAATTTAGTTTAATATTGCCTTTAAAGTGGCCTGAGGCAAATGTCCTTTCTAGAGATTTTTTAAAGACTGTGCTCCTTTCAAGTAGGTCAGGATATTAATCTAGTAATGCTTCCTTTAGGAGTGCATAAAGATAACATTCTGTGTTCATTTTTTTACACCTGCAGACAGTCGGCTCCAGTGTCAAAGCCTCAAACACCTGGATGATTGTAAATTTAAAATTCCTCCATTAGAGAAGAAATATAATCTACAGAACATGGAGTTCAAGACTGCTTACCACTGTGACTGCACCAGCCGGTAATATAAAAAATCATTTTAATGTATATTTTTAATTGCATAGTCCTTAGGCTTTGGTCATCCAAAACCTGTTATGGTTTTATTTCAAACTATCAAGCCAAGCTGCAGAAACTTTAAATTTCCTGGGATACATGCCTGCTAAAATTAATGTAAATATTTCTTTTGTTTCATTTTTTTACCCTGTTTCAACACACTATGTGGTTTTAAAAGTGTATTTTTATTCAAAACATTCTTCCTGTAAAATACCTCAGTGGAATTTGCCTACAGTAATAAAATGACTTGTTAGTGATTTCTGCCATAACATGTTAAAAACTAAAAACATGCCATGTAACCTGACACAGTGATGTGTTTATTGGATCAGAGACAGTGTTATTGCTGTAGTCTCAAAACATGACTCATATCAGTTGAACGATGGAATCAGATATAATGGTCTTTTTTTTTTTTTGTATCAGATAAAATCAACAAAAAAAGAAACAGAAATTAAGCAAAGTGTAATGATTGTGGTGGAGCTGAAGCAGGAAAACAGCTGTGTGTTCATTAGTTTGATTTGAACAGTTTAATCTGCTCCTGCTTGTAAACAGTTGTCTGTGTCACGGTCTATAATTTCCTGTGATTTTATTCTCCCAGCTCCTTTTTTTGCATAATGTTCAGTTTCATGATTCAGTTTTTTTTTCATATTTTATATTCTTAGTTTTGCTGTCTGCTTTTATATCAGCACATCTGCTTTTGTTACACTCCAGCTCCCTCAGTAGATTTCAGCCAAGTTTAAAAAAACACATGGCTATTTGGACAACTGTGTTTGTGTGTGGTTGCATCTATCATCTGTATGAAAGTAGTTCTTAAATATGACCTTTTAGAACCTAAAGTGGGAAACCTGAATTTTTAGGTGGTGATGTAAGACGTGTGCCACCATTTCTGAGTTTAATATCATAACCGGTGGATGAACAGCTTATATATTTTAGTGTGGACAGATTTGTTTATAAGAGCATAACAAGAATACCTTCTTTTAACTGCTTCCTCTTCAGTGGTCACAATGAGTCATCCTCCTCCATCTCCCTCAGTCTTCACTCTAGCTATTTCTACATTGTTGAACTGCATCCACATCTCTCCTCTTTGTCTTTTTCCTGGCAGCTGCATCTCTAATACCCTTCTACCAACACAGCCACTGTCCCTCCTCTGGACATGTCCAAACATTCTCAGTCTGGCCTCTGTAACTTTTTCTTAGTTGTTCAACCTGTGCTCAACCTCTGATGATCTCCTTCATAATCTTATCCATCCTTGTTCCTCCCAAGGAGAACTTCAACATCTTCATCGCTTCCACTTCCATTTCTGTGTCCCATCCTTTTTTTTTTCAAATTCATTTGTTTTATTTCTGTCCTATGTCTGACTCTTTTGCTGGTTTTGAAGTTGAAATCCGTTGGCTCCTCCCCCAGTTTACCTCTTGGAGAGGAGACGATGTCTCCCTCTTGGTTTGGAGGTGACGGGCTGGACCTACAGCCACCTGGAGGTGACCGGTGAGGCTGAGTCTGACGTGTCTCCTCCAGGAGTCATCAGGCGGGAGCCTTGAGCTCGGCCTCCAGCTACCCTCCTTCCAGTAGTCGCTCCCTTTGTGAACCCCTTTGTGAATCCTTATGTCACCATTTTACATTTGAAAACACAATAATCATCATAGTTCATTAGTTAATCATTCACATTGCAATTAAGTATAATCATTACTCAAGTTAGACTATTTTTGCCAGCATTAAAATTGATTAACTTCAAATCATTTCACTTCCTCCTTGTCGCCTCATCTTCTTCTCTTCTCGGCCTTCACCTCGATTCTTCCAGTGGCTCCTTTTCCTGTCACGCTCCCTCCTCTGCTGGGGGTCAAGTGAAGGCTCCATAGGTCTGGTTCCAATCCTAGTGATGACTGGCGCTGTCGGGTCTCTTGACAAAGTTCAAAATTTTTATTTGTCTGTCATATTCACAGCTTGGCTCTTAAGATGGAAAGCTTCAGGCACCTCAGTATTCCCCGCTCCCTCCTGGTGGATTTTGTCTCGGAGCAGTGTTTCACTCTGCCAAAGGAGAAAAAATGTAAACGCAAAAAAAGGTGGTAAGCTCTGAAGAGTTTCTTCAAGTCTCACAGCTTTTGACTGCAGCATTACCTTGTCTGCTGTGTTAACACAACTTACAACAATTCTGCTTTACCTGACTGATGTTTTGATTGTTTCTTTTCTAGATGTTCTCGAGGCTTCACTAAAGCCTTTGACCTACATCAAGCACTTAAGAAGCTAAAGGAAAACGACACAGGGATTGGAGTTTTTAGTGACAGAAAGAAAAGGATTCCTCTTCGCCTTTATAAGCACTGCCTGAAGCTAAACATGAAAGCACAGCCTAAATGACTGAAGACTGAACTTTTTTGCAGCAATAATGTTAAAAGCTTCACATTTCACTGATATTTTACATTTTTTCTCATTAGATGATACACAATGGTTAGTATTTGGTTGGCTATTGTAATACTTTACTTTGATATAAACATGTGTTTTAAAAACTTCACCAGATGTGGAAATAAATATAGCTTATTGTACTGTTTGAATCTAACAATTTACAGTCATTCTTATTTTAATAATAGGGCAAACCATTGCTTATATATAGCAGAATGTGCATATTGGTGTAAAGAAACAAAACCAGCTCATTTATGATTCTGAAAGAGAAAAATCAACTGCCTGTAATCGCAACATAAATATTTTTTTAAATTAACAAATAATGTTTTTTTTTCTTTTTGCCTTGGTTACTGTGCAGGTTGAATCACAAATCCATTCTAATGCATTGTGTGCAATATTAATCACAATAGTATTAATAAAAGTGATGACACAAATACATTAGGACATGGTAAATGACCATATATACAAATGCAAAGTTTTGCTCATGATCCATATCATGTGCTATAAAAAACATATGTGTTTTTAAAATTAGGAGCAACTCTGCAGTGTTGTGAAATATACTGTTTTGTAAAAATCTGGACCTCATTCCACATTTTATCCATTTTTTAAAAATCCAAACAGTGTTGTGGTTCTTTATCACCCTGAAGTTTTTTTCATATGTTTTTATACCTTACTTCCACCTGCTCTGTAAAGTCCCCCCCCCCCACACACACAATTATATTTATAAACTTCCTTTTTCTCTTTAAATTTTGAGCGCAACTTTATATGTCCATTAATCATAATTTCACTCATAGAAATTAAACCTGATATTGTTTTATGTAACATAATTAATGCCAATCATAATGCATGTTATTTTCCTCTCACGTTATAAAGTAGTTGGGACGGGACATGTAGAAACTGCAAACATGTAAACTTTATCTCTTCTGTTTAATAAAATTGTCATATACTCTTTAAATATCACAGCAGCTTTGGTATGATTAAAGTAAGTTGCCACCGTGATGAGCTCATGATATTTTGACAGCTATTCTTCAGGCGCGCGGTGCATGCTGGGAGCAGTCGGCCTTGGAAACATGGCCTCGCGCTGACAGCCGCTATCTTCTGCAGGCAGTGACACGGCTACTGGGCCGGTACCGGGGAGGCATGTGACGGGATTTTTACCGTAAACTGAAATCGCCGGAGGTATAGTTTCGTCCCGAGCGGACTCCCGCTTAGACAGCGCGAGGTAATAACGGATTTAGCGCGAGTGTCACGCCCACCGACTCGGTGTCGGTAACAGTTTTGCCGTTAAGTTAGCTCTGCTTCAGCTAACCGAAGCAGCCGACAGAGGACCTGCCGCCGCTGCTCGTTCACTGCCCAGCCTGCCTGTTGTCTGTGCGCTCTGCCCTGACAGACGACCCTGCTTAGATAAGACGGCGGCAGGTATGTAAGCAGGTCGTTAGCAGGCTGGTCTGGGGCGTTTCTGTCATCATCCACTGAATTTTTAATGTTCGACCCTTTTGGCATCGCTGTCGGAGGGGAGAGCGATGGGCTCCGGGGCCGTGGATTCGTCCCAGTGGCTTTCGGTGAAGGAGGAGACCATATTCCTCCACGACGGACTCATTCGGGTCACGGATCTGGCCGAGCTGCCCAGTGAGATTGGAGTGTCGGAACAGGGGGACACTGAACAAGAGGTAAGGGGGAAACAGACACTTTCTCACACTAAAGCAATGCGAAGATGTAAACACACGACTGCAACCAATGCGTCTCTTAGTTTATTATAATGTAGAATATTATGTTTTTTCCCCCTGCCACCTTTTCTATTCAAGCTTGGTGACAACTGCAGCGCCGACGTTTGCAAGTTTTCTGTTCTGCTTCTTATCGATTCACTGCTGTCAAAGTCCACTGTAGCCTACTTCCTGTTGCCTTTTTTCAAAATAAAAGCTTTGCAATAGACTATTTTGCTACAGTCAAATCAAACCATTTGTGTCTTAGTAAATTTGTACACGCACATGCTATTGCTGATTCAATCAGTCACATCTTTAATAAAAGTTAAAAGGTATATTTGGCATTTCTTTAAAATGAGTTGCATCAGTAGTGTGTCAAGTTAAAATTAGTCTTTAATCTTTTTTTTTTCTTCGGCACCAAATGTTCTTACAACACTCCAACATGGTTCTGTTTCTGTACATACATTTTGTTGAACTGTTTACATTGCATAGTTTTCCAGGGCAAGTGTTCTCCACATTTAAATGTAAAACAAATGTTGCATTCCTCTTGATCTAAAACTTGTTTAACTTTATGGATAAAGTAGGGTGGTGTAAACAGTTTACTGCCTTTTTAAAATGGTTTGTTTGCGAACAAACTTATGTTTTTAAGAAAACTGGATGCCTTTGTCATGTCAGACCACTGATACTGATTGCAACTTCAAGCTACAGAACAATATATATTGTTGTATTCTTTCAGAAGGGTTGTGTACTTGTAGAAGACATGTTTCTGTTTTTCATGAATGTTATCAGTAAATGTGGTAAACAAAAGGCTTAACTACAGTATTTTTAATGTAAATACTTAATTTTTTTAGCATTGTGCTGAAAGCATAAGACAATTGACTTTGAGGGGGTATTTTGAGAAAGTAATTGTTGCTTTCCGGCTTGTGTGTTTTGTAGGTTTTTGTCCACAGGGAGTAAGATGTGGTCGTAGTCTGATCTCAACCCTTCTTGATTTATTTCATACATTGTTTGAATTTTGCTGTGAAAGTTTATCCTGTTTTATTACCACAACGTAACATTTGTTTTTGCAGTCAGACGTTTAATTAGTGGTTTAAAAGACCATTTTGTAATTACTTTCCATAGATTTATTCAGCTTTTTGTGCTAGTTTTAGAACCATAACATCAGACGATTTTATTTAGATATCCAGCCACATGATGTAAGTGTTGCACAGAATATTTTTTGCAACTTTCATGAACCAAGAACTGTTTGTGCTTCTACATCGGACTAAATATTGCAGACGATGTTCACTTGCAAATAATTTAGCCTCTTTATTGCTGTTGCTTACAACATTTTATGACATGATAGTATGGATGTTTTGTAGCATTAAATTATTTAGCACATATACAGCATATGATATGTTCCATATATTTGTTGCACACATTAAGTATGTATTAAGGCTATAAAGAGAGTGCAGTTTAGTATAAAAAATAGAAACGTAGACAGAATTTAAGATGCTTACGTATACTGTCTGTTTCTTTTAATTTGCAAAAGGTAAGGCAGTTTTGTTGTTTAGTAGTTGAAGATGAAAAAGTGCAAAATTATATTTTTAGATGGTGGCTCAAATAAAAACATCAGTAATTGAAAAATAATGATTTGCCTTTGGTCATTTCAATTTTCCACCTGTTTTGTATTTGTGTCCAAGCTTTAGGTCTGATTGGGTCGTTTAGTTCTGGTTTAGTGGTTGTGATGCCGATTTATCTTTTTAACACAATTCAGAATTTTTCAGACGAAGGTGTAGAAAGCCTAGCGTCCAGATAAGGGGGTGTTACTGTAACATAAGTAGCGTTTCTGAAATCGAATCAATACAAATTGTGCCAGCTAAATGGTATAATGGATCTTTTTTTTCCCCCAGTCTATGATTCAGGGGCTGCAGAATGTAATCAATATCTGAGATGTTGGCTAAGTGCATGAGAGGCGCATTGTTTCACTTCTGATATACTACACCTAATGATCTTTGCTTTCCCTGACCAACAGTCCAAAGGACTGTTGACATGAGAGTCCACTCTGCTAAAATTAGTTTAGTTTAGTTTGACCAAATGTGGAGAATCCTTTGATTAACAATTAGCATAAATACAAATATTTGTTGTCTTTCTACTTCAGTAAAATGGAAGTTGCTTATCAAGCTCCAAAATAACCACATGATTTATGGAAGAATAAAACTTTGATGTTAGCTAAAGTAGAACACAGAGATGTGCTGGATAACAAAACTGAAAACTTCCACCTGCTTCTCTGCTGAATTTAACTTTTTGTTGCCAGTAGAAATATTCTCTTATTCATAATGGATGTGAACAATGAATTAAAGTTAAATCTAAACATGACTGCTTTTTCCTCTTAAGTTGCAGAAAGTACTGTCCGGTGTTGACACATATTTAGTCTAATGTCTTCTTCATCTTTCCCTCTCTCCTCTAGATTCTTACTTTCGAGACAAAGAACCCAGTCGAGCTTGCTGAGCGCCTGCGTGCCGTCTGCGGGAATCAAAGCAACGCGTACGCTCGTCTGCTGGAGTACCGCCTCAATGCTTTGCGTGGCCTGTGGGCAGCGCAGCGGCAGCTGGCCCTCGAGGAGCAGCAGGAGCGAGAGGGAACAGGCGGGGCCGACGAGGAGACCTTAGCCTTGCTCAAAAGACAAGGTCTGCTGCAGCAACCCGAGCAGGCGCCCTTCACGTCTCGTGTCGCCCTGCTGCTGGTCTTCCCGCTTCTGCAGTCCCAGACTCGCAGTGACCCAGCGCTGTGCGGCGTGACCGCTGAAGTACTGCTAGCCTGCCTCCGGGACTGCCAGCCGCTGAGCCTGAGCAAAGAGCCCGCCGACTGCCTCAATGGCCTGGAGGGCCTGCTGTGCTCCTGGCTGGAAGATGGAACCCAGGAGTCAGGCCCACCTCAGGGCCAGGCTCGCTCACAGGTTCTGCACACGCACAGGCAGCGGGAAAACGCTGCTGCTGCACTGGTGGCACTTGCGTGTGCCAGGTGAGGCCGTACTTTGTCTGTTGTTGTTTTTACTTTCTAACCCCTAAAACCTGTCTGACGTAACAGACACAAATGAATATTAACCATATTACCACTCAGTAAATAACAAGTAATTGCTTAAAATGAAGTATGGGGGAAATAATTGGATGTAGGAATGTGCTTGGCTCTTTTTATTTTTGAGCCTGACTTCTGGTCTCTTGATGGTAGTTATTGTGGACCTGTCATAGGATGACCTCTTCCCCTTTTTTGTTTAAGCTCAGTTTAAGTTGAGGACTTATTTCCAGCTGGAAGCTTTTTGTTGCGTGGAACCATCCAGCTATTGTGCCTTTTTACCTGCAGTTGGAGGTAGTCAATGGGCATCACCCTTTACTCCCCGGTGACCTCTAATGTGGCCAGATGGTGGGTCATTGTTTGTGAGGGTTAAACAACCAAAGAGAATAGATGTAAAATATGTAATAGATAAGTGTGGACAAGATTCCCTGAATGATGGCAGATTCTTGTGTGCCAGCTGTTACAGAGAGTCAAATCTGAAAATCCTGCAAAACACTTAAGTTCCTCTTTGGCATAATATTGTTGCAATTTAAGTGATTAGATGAATATGTTCAATTAGGTTTATGCAGTTGTTGATCAGTTCACTGCACAAATTTGCAAATTAAACCCAGATATGACATTTATATTGTGTTTTATAAAGTTTTTTTTTTACTCAGAGATGATAAGTTGCATTATAATT